TTGTCCGATTAATTTCTTTCTATTTTTAGTAGAGACGGGGTCTCGCTCTTGCTCAGGCTGGTGTCGAACTCCTGAGCTCAAACAATCCGCCCGCCTTGGCCTCCCAGAGAGCTAGAATTACAGGCGTGAGCCACCGCGCCCAGCCAGAAGCTATTTTTAAAATTATTTTTATGTCCAGGTTCAGTGGCTCTTGCCAGTAATTCTAGCACTTTGGGAGGCCATCGCAGGAGGCCAGGAGTATGAGATCAGCCTGGGCAGCATAGTGAGAACTTGTCTCTACAGAAAATTTAAAAAACTAGCTGGGCGTGGTGGTGCGCACCTGTAGTCCCAGCTACTTCGAAGGCTGAGGCAGGAGGATCCCTTGAGCCTAGGAGTTCGAGGCTGCAGTTAGCTATGATTGGGCCACTGCATTCGAGCCTGGGCAATAGCGAGACCCTATCTCTAAAAAAATAAATACCTAAATAAAAATGATTTTTCTGTTTATGTTTTAGTGCATTTTATAATTTTACATATTAAAATTTTGGTTCTAGCTAACCTGTAATTGTTTAAATAAGAATGTGGGCTATGGATTAAGTTTAAGCTCTTCTGGGAACTAATTTTTTTTGGTAATCAGTGCCTTTATTAAATATTAGCATTCTGCGAATGTCTGACTTTTGTCTTTTCAGGATCAAAGCAAGTTGGAGAAACACCAGCATCTGGAGACTCCTTAGATGGCATGCCTCGTACTCCCAATACTGTCTTTGATTTCCCACCTCCGTCATTAGACCAAGTGCAGGAGGAGGAATGTGAAGTAGAAAGGTAATTCAGTGATATCTTATAAAGATTTAGAGCATTGCTTAAAGTTTTTTGAATTATATACTATTCCTATATATGGTAGCATTTTTTTCCCCCTACGTAATGTTTTGAGAAAGAACTAGCATTTGTTGGTGCTAAACTTTAGAAAGGTACTGAAATTTTTTTCAATTATTTTATGTTAAATCATTACAATATCCCAAAGAATTGTTTATAAAACCACTGGAGTTTAACCCAGTCTTGAGTATGTTTGGTATGAATTTCTTAATCACCATTTTGTTTTTATGTTCACTCTTTATTCTCCATTGTTTTAGGGCGACTGAACATGGGACACCAAAGCCCTTTCGAAAGTAAGTAAATCTTAAGTAGCTTTATTTTTTTTTATTTTTTTATTTTTTTGAGACAGAGTCTTGCTCTGTTGCCC